CTGCGGGCCCTGCTAGAGCCGCCAGAGGCCAGCCCGAGCAGCCGCGCCCGCCTCAGCCCAGCCCGCACAAGCTGAGCTCGCCACAAGCTGCCCCGGCCTCCTGCAGCCCGTGACACCCGGCCTGCCTGGGGCCTGCCCAGCGCCCCTCTGCCAGCCCCTCCCGCCCTGCTCCCCACAATAAACTCGCCTGCAATCTATTCCTGCCTCTCGTGGCCTCTTTTCCAAGTCAGAAAGGGTCCGTGGATGGGGGAGATGCAAGAGTGGGAGGGGAATTGGTGTTAGCGGGATGGATCAGGGGAAATGGGAAATGGAAGGGCAAGGGGAAGGGGAAAATAGAAGAGGGAAGGCGCTCGAGGAGGTGGAGATGAAATAGAAATTGGAGCGGGTTCGGAAATGGACAAGGTGAAGCAGGGCGAGAAGGTGAACAGCAATGAGAACGACGAGGAGGAGGAGACCTAGGGGAAGAAGAAAACGAAGAAGAAAATGTACCATGGGAAGAGAACAAAGAAATAGAAGGTGGAGAAGGAGGAGAAGGAGAAAGAGGAAAAGAGGAAGGACAAGGACAAGAGTAAAGAGGAGAAGAAAAGACAAATTAGAAACAAGGAGAGGGAAAAATACAAAGAACGAAGGCTAAGACATAGATCAGGATGAGGAGTTGATGACAAGGACATTCAATGTACAGGGAATGGTGAGGGGATGTCTCACTCTGATTTCTGTCCAAGGTGCTGAAGCAGAGCCATGACGGCACAGGGGGCTGCAGCTCTGACAGCCTCTGGGCCTGCATGGCTCCCGGCTCCGGGGACAGCCCCACTCACTGCCAGCACGGCTGCGGGTGGGTAAAAGCCCCTGGTGCCATGGGCTGCAAGCTGGGGCATCTGTCTGTCTTCAGGCAGAGTGCTTGGAGCTCCTTGTCTTTGTCCTTTTCCTTGTACATCTCCTTGTCATTTTCCTATTCCTTGTCCCTGTCCTTCTCCTTTCCCTTCTCCTTCTTCTCCTTCCTCTGCTCCATATCCTAACCTTACCCAGAGAAGGGTGAGGTTATTGTAAAGGAGAGCCAGTGCTCTCCTTCACATCATTACACTTTCCCTTGTCGTTGTACATCTCCTTGTCGTTTTCCTTTTCCTTGTCCTTGTCCTTCTACATCTTCTTGTCCTTCTCCTTCTCCATCTTCATCCCTTCTCCTTCTGCTACTTCTCCTTCTCCTTCAACAGCTCCCTCACCTCACCCATTCCCACTGCTGTCTTTCCTATCCTTACACTTTCCCATTGATTTAAACACCTTCCCCTCATGAATGTCCACTCCCCCAGTCCCTCTTATAATTTACCTCCCCTTCCATTTCCCATTTCCTCTGATCCATCCCACTAACACCATTTACTTTCCCACTCTGGGAACTGCCCCATCCCCGGACCCTTCCTGACTTGGAAAAGAGGCCAAGAGAGGCAGGAATAGATTGCAGGCGAGTTTATTGTGGGGAGCAGGGCGGGAGGGGCTGGCAGAGGGGCGCTGGGCAGGCCCCAGGCAGGCCGGGTGTCACGGGCTGCAGGAGGCCGGGGCAGCTTGTGGCGAGCTCAG